GCCCGTTTCGATCTTTCTCCATGGGTTATGTCAAAGCAGAGCGCTTGCCCTTGAACATGCCGATGTTCTTTGGGCCCTGGATCCTTCATGTGATGTGTCCTTCGGGACTCTTCTTGCCTCGGCTCCTCTCGTCCGACTTCCCTGGAAGGTCGGTGAGAGTGCCTTCCACTCCTGGTGTGCTGAGGGGCTTCGGGGATTGCTTTCCTTCCTCCCTTCTGGGTATTAATTGCTGGCATCGGCGTATCTTGCAGCGGGTATGGTGGCTGCATAACATTGTTTTGCATCATGAAGTTGGCCACTAACTGTAGGTCCGCCAACTTGTTTGCCAAGTCCTTTACTTCATCATCCCTCCATACCTGAAGGTTATCTTCGTTATAATACTTGCTTTGGTCTGTCCTCTTCAAAGCGTCGCCCTCCTAGCTGACTGCCGACCTATCGACATTCAGTCTGTGGCAAGTGACCTCGGGGTCAATGCCAGGCATTTCGTAAGGTGTCCAGGCGAACACCTCTATGTTTGTTCTCAAAAAATCTTCCAGTTCTCTTTCCTCTTCTTCGGCTAAGCCTGAGCCGAGAAGAAAGAAGCGCTCTTCATCGCCCTCCTGGACGAGGATTTTCTTTAGCGTCTCTTCACTCTTTTCGGCTGGCTCCTTGCCGACATCATCTAGGACTTCCATGTCCTCGTCTTCAATCTCTGCCTCTTTTGGCTCTCGAATGTTGCAAGTAGACTTCATTACTGCCATGGAGCAACTTTTTGCCTGCAGTTGGTCTCCTCTGACTTCTTCAATCCCATGCTCTGTTGTGAACCGTAGTAGTTGATGCAATATTGAGGGAACTGCCCCCATTGCATGCAACCATGGCCTTCCCAAGATGATGTTATATGGCGAGGGTGTGTCAATCACCATAAATTCTGTCTTGATCTTCTTAGTACCAGCTTGTACTTCCATGCTTGTTGTGCCCAGTGGCCATGTCGGTGTTCCATTGAAGCCGACCATAGGGTTGCTGGATTGTTCCAGGTCGTCAGGATGAAGGCCTAGCTCCTTGTAACATCTGACGAACATGATGTTACAAGAGCTGCCTTGATCTATTAGGATGCGTTTTACTTGGCACTCCCCAACCTAGAGGGATACTACCAAGGCATCATTATGCGGATGTTGAACCATCTCTAGGTCGGCTTCAGTGAAGGTTATCATCGGTCCTTGGCATTCTTCAGGCCGAGGTCTTTTGTGTCCGACCTGGTTCACATGCTGTAGGTGTTTTACTCTTTGGGTTTCTCCCCGAATGTCGTTTTCGCTCACTTTTGAGTGGATGACATTAACCACCCGTGGTCCTCCTACTTGTGGTTGTTGTGCTGGGGGAGGCGGAGCTATAGGTGCTTGAGGCAATCTTGCCTGTTCTTCTCTTGTCCTGGCCTCATCAACAAGGTCCCTCAAATGGCCTTGCCTTACCAGATCTTCTAAGTGTGCTTTTAAGGCTCTGCAGCCCTGAGTTGGGTGTCCTTCTTCATTGTGGTAAGCACAGCGCCTACCAACGTTTCTTCCCATAAATTCCCCCAACACTTGGGAAAGATTCACACCCTTTGTATATATATATATATATATATATAATATATGTTAGGAATAAGGAGTATCTTTGGAGTTGTAGATCTTGTTTGGTTTGTCTCTTGAGAGATATTTTTTTTTAAAAAAAAAAAAAAAGAATTCAAAAATTTGTTTGGTTAAATTTTTTTTAAAAAATAATTCAAAATCATTTTTATCTTTATTACATATCAATCAATCACTTTTCTCGTATACTCATTATGGGATATATTTTCTGAATACCGACACGTGGCATGGTGACGCCGACGTGTCAACCGAGGTGCCACGTGTCGTGGTGGTGTTATGCCGAGGTATCTTTGGCGAGGCCGAGGTGATCTCCGAAGATATCGGAATCTGAGATAAGCGGATAAATGAATAAGGGGCAAGAGTCCTAGAGAAAGAGAAGACTTTGCTAAAGATAAGGATAAAACTCTTAGGGAGTTTATCTTTATCTCTTGAAGAGTCAAAGTCAGTATTGAATTGAAGTCCATAGAAGTCAGGCTTCTAGTAGGCTTGGATTGAGTAAACTATAAAAGAGAGCACCCCCGTGGGTCTAAGGTACACAGTTTTATGCTTAAGCTTGTGAGTTTAGCACTTGATTATCTTTAAGAGATATACTGACTGACGTCGGAGTGCCCCCGGTGGAAGACGCACCGCCGGAGCCTTTTCTTTCTGTTGCAGGTTTGCTGAAGCCATCTATTCTGCCGGTGCTCTCCAGCTGATTACTAGGCGGGCAGTGTGGTCAGATTTTCACCCACACAATTTGGCGCCGTCTGTGGGAACTTAGAAGAATAGATGGCCAGTAACGGATAGAGGGAAACATTGGGGCGGACACTCCTGCTGGGAGTGGCAGACCAATCCGCTTGACGGTGAAGGAGACAACCACAGTACCAGAAAGACTACAGCGGAGAGAAAGACGTCAGCTAGGAGGGCGACGCTTTGAAGAGGACAGACCAAAGCAAGTATTATAACGAAGATAACCTTCAGGTATGGAGGGATGATGAAGTAAAGGACTTGGCAAACAAGTTGGCGGACCTACAGTTAGTGGCCAACTTCATGATGCAAAACAATGTTATGCAGCCACCATACCCGCTGCAAGATACGCCGATGCCAGCAATTAATACCCAGAAGGGAGGAAGGAAAGCATCCCCGAAGCCCCTCAGCACACCAGGAGTGGAAGGCACTCTCACCGACTTCACAGGGAAGTCTCGGCCACCCGAGATGGAGCCGATGGAGAATT